TTTTTTTGTTAAGAGAATTGCAGCTGGCCACCGCGGCAGCAGTGATGCTTCATGACGTCACGCTGGCTGTGTTGCCCGCCAATAGCACTGAGTTGCCACCCCCTGATCTAAATGTTGCAAGAGTCTCTGGTTTCTTGGAATATTCCACCCTATCTCTAAACACATTTCCATTTCAGAAAATAGTCTTGATATTAACAAATACACAATTGGCATCTGATCTGAAGTTCTCACATTGGTGACTACAAACAATCTTCTAGACTGTAACACCGTATAGTCTGGAAAAGCCCAACGTATCAGAGGAACATATTACCACCATCTTGAAGGTTAAGGAATAAGCAAATCAAGAAACCAGCAAGAACTGGGTGATGAGCAGGCTTTTCCTGGGCCATACTAATATGAGTAGGAATGTTGATACCACTAACAGACAAATAATGCAGATAATGTCACTACAGAAAGGGCCAGTCCCCTGAGTAATTTCGCAGTTCATCACTGTTTGTAGTCTTGGAGACATTATTGTCTGGTCTTGTGGCGTAGGACAGAGTTTGTAATCCACTCTTCATACATGGACACTCTTGTGTATACCCCAGGAGTGTTGTGGCGACCACAGCCAATTCCAAAGCTAACAATTCCAATTTGGTACCACTGGCCATCCTGTTCACACACCAGGGGCCCTCCACCATCTCCCTGAAATGCAACGTTGAATGTGTTCTCATGCAGAAATATGTTTTGTGCGGAAGACTATGACATACAACTTTTATGACTGTAAAAGTAATGAAGAAATTAAAAGAACTATGTATTCCACAAATAACAGAACTCACAGAATAGAGAATAAATTGGAAAGAATGCAGCGACAGGATAAGCTCTGACAGAATTTCATAAAAGAGCTTAAAATACCAATAAAAAGTTAAACAAACTTTAGAGAATTCCTTGAAGTTATGAAAGGATTTTTTTTTTTTTTTTTTTTTTTTTTTTNTTTGTAACAGGCCTCAATAGGCCTAATACTGGAAATGGTGATGCAGTCTATTGGTTGTCCTCTAATTTCTATAAGCAAGAATCAGACAAGAACCCTGCCATCCTACCAGGCTTATGTTGTCATCTGAGTTACAGAAAGAACTCTCAGTTTTGTTAAGATCAAGAATATTTAATTTTCAGAATTTCTATGGTTGGTTATTTTCTTTCAGAGATTGAACTGCATTATAAAAAAGCATAATGATTCAAAGGAAATCAATAAAGTTGTCAATATAGTTAACACTAATACCAAAATAACACACTCATTGAAAAGGTGTATACTCATATGCGCAAAGGGCAAAGAGTGCAGATATTTTTGTGCAAATTTAATGAGTATAAAATGGGTTATGTAGCCTGTTGTCTAGCCTGCATGAGCATCTCAAAACAATTGAAATTCCCAATTCTTCTAGACTGTTACAAAGACATGGAGGGTTTCCTCAACTAGGCACCTAAAGCTGCAACATGTATAAAATTGTAGCAGCAAAGATTCAAGAGGACACTGAGTCCAAGTCTTAGTTGAGTGAAGAAGACACAATGAAGTGGTGCAGAAGCAGACATGAAGCAGAGAGTATGGGGAATTATAAGTAGTGCAATGATTGGATGATCATGAGTGATAAGTGGCCTCCGTAGTCTAGGGGTAACTTTCCCACCTCATGACTCAAGGTACGCAGGTTCAAACCCGGGGGAGGTCGTGGAATTTTTAAGGGTGGAAAAATTCAGGGAACAAGTCCTCCGGGAGGGACTTTAAGCCGTGGGCTCCGTGTCATAGATTTATGGCACATAAAAGAGTAAGTTTGATTATTGAACATCAAATCAAATGAACAAATTTTACTCCAAAGTCAAATTCTTAGTCTGACTAACCATGTGTGTTCACCCTAAAACAGGCCACTTCTCATACAGATGATTTGCAATATTTACTTCTTTACTTTTGTGAATATAATTTTAGATATTAAAATATAAAACACCAATAAATGAAAGTAGAAGATGGGCACCAATTTTTCATTATCCATTGAATTAACAGAAAGCTGGTGTTATAAACATAATTTATGTACAAATTATCAATTTTTTTAGAAGAACGTTTAAGTGTGGTTATATTTATTTATTTTCTTCAACCTGTAACTCAGTGAAGTAAACTGTAAACTTACATCACATGCGTCCCTGCCATCTGCCCCTGCACAAATAGAGGTGTCTGGCAGTGAGAATCTGCTTCCAAATTGCTGCTGCAGTGCCCTCTCACAGGCTGAGTTCTGCCATAATGGCACTTTCACCTTTTTCAGGACAACAGAATGCTCAGATGCTGAAACAATAATAGCACAGTGGAAGAAGCATGAGAAGAGATAGCTGGATTTTTTCCAGCTGGTGAAGGTAAGGGTAAAGGTAAAATTGCCTTGAGCTAAATTAATTAAGCACCAAGCCATGAAGACTTATGAAGAGTGGAAGTATAGCTCTCCCATTTTCAATCTCAACACTGGATGGAAGTAGGTGGTCAGCTTCAAATTCCCACTGCTGTAACCCTGGGGAACATCCAGGTGTTATCTTTCATATTTGGATGACAAATGGCTGATAAATAGATATACACAGTTTTGTAGACTTCTGTCATCTGGGATATAATGTCATGTAGTTCAGGGAAAGTCTACTGACGTTTTGGAGGAACCTATTGCCTCCATCTTCAGGGTTGGGGAGTAAGACAAGCAAGAAACCAGCATGAAGATGTTATATTCCAGTCAGTACCCTAGTTGCTATAGCAAATTAGTTATCGCATACAGGAATTTCAAATATTAAAAATAGATATCTGAAAGCTATCTATATATATATATACAATATATTCATATTTTACTTTCACTCCGCCGACCCCATCCTGTGATGACACAACTGGTGTGTGCTGGACTGTCAGTTGTATCTGGGAACTTCGAGCCTTGTCTGGGCAAGCAGACAACATCGATGTTGGGTCGCTGCTTAGCAGGATGTCGCAAACGGATCAAAGCGATATCATGAGCAAGGGATGCATTGTTGAACCCTGGATAAAGTACCACATCTGCTACATCATATTCCTCATGACGTAATGACTCTCGTGTCGATGTCACATCATGCTCTCCTAACCTCACTTTAAGAGACTCCCCTCTATTGGATACACTGAAACAACAATTACAGTTGCATTTTGCAAATAGCAGAAAACTTCATCCTCCGTGCCATAATACTGACAATTCTACAAGGTGTGAAAAAGATGCCACTACTGAAATGCAGTTAGTTACTTTAAATACTTAAGAGGCCTGTATACAAAGATTCTTTAGAATTCATGATCAGAGAGGGCTAACAGATAATCACAATTATTATAATTCTATGCAGGAAGAGGAGATGATGATGCCAATGATGAAGACGAGTGTGGAAATATGGAGGTGGAGTAGGAGGGGTGAGGATCAGTGGCAGAAGCATATGAATTAAATTATTAAATAACAAGCAGCTTTTCACTTTGATCAATCAGCTCTTTGTTTTGATATGACTTACTAATCATCCACACAATGTGCTGCAGTAAGAACCCAACTTTCATCTAGCAGTGACGCCCCGCAAACATAGAGGTCATCTGGTTTCTCCAATATTGCTGCCTGGGAAGACGCAATGAAATTAAAAACCTTATAAACTTAGACAGAAAAATCGTTTGCATTTTGTGACCAAGTTTAGAAGATTCAGAAGTTGACACACAGGAGAAAGTGAATCTCAGGACTCACATGCCATGGCCATTCAGCAGGTCCAGCAATTCCTTCTCTTCCAGAATCATTTCCCTTTTTGCCACATCTTCCTTTATCTGGTCTTCGTCCTGTGCTGAGGGGGAACAGACCCACTGGTTTAGCTCCTTGTGGCACAAAGCAGCAGACATTGGACTCAGAGAGCCCACAGTAACTGTAGGGATTACCTCCACTGTAGGAAGGAAAGTCAATATAATATTTTATATCTGCTTTAGGTACATTCATTAACTAGTAAATCAAGACTACAGTTCTAAGTTACTGGAATTTTATTACAGATTCATGTACGTCAAATGAATATCGTTCTTACTTTAGCATACGATGTAACATTATACAACCACATAAAACAATTTATACTAGTGACTGATTTCATATCTTTACTTTTTTATAAAAAAACAGACAAGAGAAATACAGTTTTTGAGAACAATAATTGTTAGTATTTCCTGAATTTATTATTTTATAAATTCCATGTAGACCTTGGTTTTGTCTCTGTTATATTCAGGCAGTGAAATTTTGAAACATTTTTATTACTACCAACAACAGAGATGATATCATACTTTTTTAAGACAGATAACATAAATATCCAAAGATTATTATTTATGTACAGTTTATTTAATGATGCTTTCAACAACTCTGTTTGTATGGCATCAAGTTCACAGATTCTGAGCAATAAGAAGATACATACAGTAAAAGACTGAAATAACAAGTAACTTCTGAGATATATCCTCAAAACTGAGATTAAACCAAATGCATGTATCAGGTGCACCATACCTCATGACACAAGTCCAGTACTCCATGCAGTCACAACCACCTGCAGAATGGCTATGATCTGCCTCATTGGTTTCAGGCGAATCAGGGCCAGCTGCTGCAGCAACTACACGAAGCCATGTCCATAAACTGACCAGGAACATAACCGTCAATATTCTCATTCTGCTAACACACACACAATAAAGTCATATCAGGGCACTCATAATGAAGTACATACCATGTTAATTAATTAGTACAATTAAAATATACTTTGGAGTGCTGAAACAAAGAGATAAACAATATTATCACAATGAAGAAATCTTAAGCAACATGGACATGAAATGAAGCAATAGCTTTACACAAACAAAAATATTTGTTATTTGTTACCATCATTTTTAACTGATCCAAAATAAATTTTCTTGATGTACTGAATACATTCAGATTATTTCTGCATATTATAGTATTACACAACAAATTCTGGGAAGAACTAATCACCCACTTTCCTTTAATATGACACAGACCTCATAGACAACCATAAAATTGTGGGGGGGGGGAGACAAACATGAAGACAGCAAGGTTGATCTCATAAGCCTCACAACCCTAAAACATTACAGGCTATACAAAGACAGATGGACACACAGCAGAATATAAAGACAGAGAGACAAAAACAATGGACAGGACAGCAACTTTCACAAAGAAGAAAACATCTGGTCATGAGGCCCAGCTGGGGTTCGACACCAAGACAGACAGACTGACTGACCGTCAGTTGCAACATGACTTTGACTTTGAGATGCACAGATGAACAGTAAAGTGATCTCACAAGTCTCTTTTATTTTTTCAAAATAAGGAAAGTAGGCTTAAAATGGACTTCAGTAATGTTGAAGGAAATATTTCTAGGGTGAAAAGTCTTCTAGTCCAGTTGGAGTCCACTGATATTTCAGAGGAATGTGTTGCTTCCATCTGCACAGTGAAAGAGCAAGCCAAGTAACTGAAATGTGTAGACTTGCTGTGTTTAACCTTCGATCCTGAAGATAAAGGCTGTGCATTACAATACATGCAAGATTTGTATCTGAAAACATAAAATATGGGGTCAACTTCATAGACATAAGTATACTAACATGTCAGTAGATTCTGTGGCAAACTTCTGTGAATATGGTGACGAATGTTAGGATTCTGTAATGCAGTGAATTTCTTGATAATTGAATAATCATCAGCTGCTCAAGAAATATATCATGGTAAAAATGGTAAAGCTACCCTGTAACAGGCTGTGAAGGCCCATAGGGTTGTGAGATGTCAAGGCTTCTAGACAATCAGCTCACAGATGGCCACCTGCCCTTTACCCCCAAGAATATCCCTGGTACTCATTTCTGTTAGAGACTGAGTCGACCCAGGACCATAGTGCAGCTGGAAGGATTAGGTCAATTGAAAAATCCAATGACCTCATCAGGAATCGAACCCACGACCTTGCAGCTTGTAGCATAATGCCTCAACCAACTACACTATCATGTTCCCCTTCTGTACTATACAGTTTAGTAATCCCAGGCTTCTCTGTAAGCCATGTAAATTACGACATGGGGGCCAAAGTTGTTGTTGTACTGAATTAATTAAGCACTATGCCACGAAAACATATGGGGAAGTGGAAGTACAGTTCCACCTTACTTGACCTCAGCATTAGATGGAGGTGAGTGGTCAGCTTCACGTTCCAGACATTTTACCTCCAGGAAAAGCACCCTCACTAATCCTCTGAATATTCTTTGTACAGTATAAATGGTCACACTGCATTATATTATATTACATTGGATTACATGTTATATAAGTACACTATATTATAATACATGATCTTTGTTTCAATTTAGTTAAAGGAATCTAATGATTTTAAGAGAAATTTGATTTGCCTTCAAGATATAAATGCCATGGTGTTTCTGTCTGCAATATCTTCTTATCTTCTTGTCCCTCTCTTTCTCACTTTCCATCACTTTTATTCCTTTTCCTCTCTCTGACTGTAACTCAGCCTGTGCATGAGATGTCACTTCTCTGGCTTATGTAATTATGACTTGTAGTTTATGTTGTACTCTAAGCACCACTGTTGCAAAACATGCTGTGTTGTGCTAAGCATGTGGGTCAGTAAGTGTCATGTGTGTACATACTGTAACTAATATTGATGACTGCCTCTAAATAAACTGCAGATGCAGGTAACCTTGGAGACAGCCGTGTACAATTTACATTCACTCAAGGTAGAGTAGTAGTAGCAGTAGAAGTAGTATGTAAGAGGGGTGGGCCATAAAACCGACCCTCGGACTGTGACCATGATCTATTGGATTAACCCTTTATTAATCCTATATTTCGAATGAAATTTCAAATGAAATGTAGGGCTTTATCTATGGGGGTGTCATAAAAGTCACTTGGTTCCATAAAGAACTGACCCAGGTGATGAAATCTTAAGTAAGCTATGGCCTCACAGTCACATAGGATATGTGTGACTGATTCGTCTTGTTGCAGGCACCTTTCAAAGGTGGGATCATCGGTTAATTTGAAAAGGTGTCCTTCTAGGTTGCAGTGTCCAGTAAGTAATCCTACAACCCGTCTTAATTGGTCTCTGTTTAATTTCAACAGATCCTTCGTTCTCCTGGCAGAGGGTCCTGATATAAATCCCTTTGTCTGTTCACTCAAGGTGTAGGTGGGGTTCTTATGAAATTACTGTGTGGGGGTTGTAGGGACAATACCAATTTTGTAATATAAAGATTTGTTTAATGTCTATACTTCATTTGTAAATATTTAAGAATACAAGAAATAACATTTTCCAAGAACCAAATCTCATGTTCATTTTCTTTGGCATATCCGGTTTGCTGGATTCCTGGGCCTTGCCAAACATCTAGTTCAGTGTTCCGCAACCCGTGTGCCGTCACAAGGTGAAAGGTGTGACGCGAACTTTTATCTATTGTAAGAAATTAATTGTCGAATTTTATTCGTTTTATTTTATCCCAGTTACCGTGTTTCATATGCTTGTATTTTATTCTCAGCCACTGCACTGATTAAATAAGATGATGCTTGTTTATTCTTTATTACAAGCTGTGATTTTTTATGTACAGTAATGTTGTATTCTAAGAAATGAAACGTAAATTATTTACTCACAGTTGTTGTTATATCATATTTTTCATTATTGATTTATTTTTAGTTTTCTCGCATCTACGTAGCTTCTTTGATATGCTTGCTGCATGTTCTGTGTACGTGCTTTTCCCTAAAACTGCAGGGATTAGCATGGGTTTTCCTGTCTTTTATAACGCTGTTTCGGTATTTGTCCCTGTTTGTTAGAAGTTAGAGCTTCTTCAACTTTATGACTTTCTTCCTGTAACGATGCACCCACCGATTTTTGGACTTGATTTAAAATTACAAATATTTCAAAAACAAGTCGGTATAGTGTCACTTCTTCCGTGTGAAGAGTAGAGGTCCCGCGTTTTACAATTGTTTCAGTTCTATCACAGCTGTGCTCTGAAGTAGTTCGCAAATTCTGGTTGCTAGTTAGAGAATTACAAATGGGTCGTTTGAGATGTTCCCGACTGTATGGCCACTTGCTGACGGCAATAAAGTGGTGATGGACACAATTAAAGAACATTTAGAAATGCTGCAGCAGAAATTCAATAAGTATTTTGGAGAGAGTGTACAAGATTTCGACTGGGTTCGTGATCCATTCGTTGCGAATTCAGAACATCTTCCGATTAATATACAAGAGGAACTCGCAGATTTAAAAGCAGACAGAACATTGAAACTAAAACTTCTCGAAGT